TACGTTGAGGTCTGATTGGACCCAGTACCCCCATTTGCGTAGTCCACCGTCCGAGTGTTAACACGTTAAGTGCTCAGCACAGGCCCGATGATGACTCTGCTGTCAAGCCTGTCCACCGACATGGCGAAATGTTCATAAAACTCGGAAATACTGTACCAATCGATGACCACAGGCCCGATGATGACTCGGCTGTCAAGCCTGTCCACCGACATGGCGAAATGTTCATAAAACTCGGAAATACTGTACCAATCGTTATAACAGGAATTCCCAAATGTTAGGTCCAAAGATGGCGAAGAATTTAGCACCTTTTGGACCTAGCCAGTCCCTGATGACCGGCTGGACCCGAGCTAAACTTGGCACTTAACACGTTAACCAAGTACTATCGGACGTTAGCTTTTTACACGTGATTCTCACTAGGTGGTAGCTGATTCTCGGTAAATATGCTAGGTTGTAGCTGATACGTTAAAGATTTCCGTTTCTCACCCCCCAAGTGACGTACGACCACAGCGAGAAAGTACCGTTGTCACGTGAGTGGTAACTTGCGACAGATAAGGGTTAATTATTCCACCAGCAAGGAGCGAACAGTGATTTCCAGGACCCCTAACTTAACTAGGACTCTTTTTCGATTATCTCGAATACGTTCATGTCTGAATGAGCGACGACACTAGATCCTGTTAATACAAACTCTTATCGGGAATCGCCGTTTTCTTGTTACGGTTTTTCAGCCGGGCAACTTATCGTTTAACAGTTTGTTTGCCCTTTCATTCGTCTAAAAGCCTGCACCGGGTAATCGATAGCCGATGCATTGTTGCGGATTTATCGGACCTGGCTGTCCGGTTAATCGGCATTCTGCTGCAGCCTGGATAGCCTCTGAGTGGAGAAATAAATGGTCGATCGGGATTCAGAGACGTTTAAACGGTCATAGCTGGAATACATTTTATTTTTGATTAAACAGCGTGCATCCCGGTCAATGCGTTTTTATCCGCGAGATGTAACGTTATTTATTCGTTCCTTTGAAAAAGGATACGCGGACGGGGCGGGGGAAGGTAAAACAAATAAAATCGCAACGTTCGGGAATTAATAAATCTTTCGAGGGCTTTTATCGCGAACATTTTCGTAGCGAGGCTCTTTCCCGAGCAGAAAATTGTTTGACCGTTTAAAAGCGTGACAATCCGCGGGAGACGAGTCTGGAGAATAGACAGGATATGGCATTTTGATTTAGTGGAAGCTTCCGCGTGGTGCTTTTTGATAAACGGGGCCTATAGCTACGGGGTTTACGCTTGTACTCGAAAATTCACCGGTTTATTCAAAAATATGTACGGAGACGAAAAAGGATCGCGAAGTTTCGTCTTGCTCAGGAAAAAAAGTCATCAAATGTAATTAACCATCGTTGCCATAATTAACACATTGACTGCCAACTACGAGGTATCTCGTAGGTTGTTTACTTGCCCAGAATGCCTACCACGAGTTATCTCGTCCCTTCGTTATTTGCCATATTTGCATAGCTACGAGGAAACCCGTACTATAACTGTAATATAATTAAAAAAAAAAAAGTCTATACAAATTTATTCATGCAGAATAACATTTTTATGCTTCGCGATCATTTTTAAAACAATCTTGCACCCCAAGTACGAGATAATTCGTAACATGCTTTTTTTAAGAAAGAAAAACATTTTTTAAGCTTTTTGATTATTACTATGTATTATAAAGAAAGATTTTAATAATATAACATAATTAAATTAAATTGGCTTCTTAGACCGGAATCGTGAAAATTTGCGTGGCAGTCAACGTGTTAAGGAATAAATTTCAGCAAGTTGTTTCGACCTGTCGCTTATTCTGCAGAGATATCGATAGAGAAAATATTCGTGGTTGTGAATTTGCATGCTGTGGTATTTAAAACTCGATGATAAATTAATTCCTGCATTTCTTTCGATATTAAACAAATTTGGAATAAGAATGACTAAATGATTAATAATAGTTCAAAGACTATTAATATTGGAATTTTTCTCACATTACTGTTTCCAAAATTTGTGCAATTTCTAATCAGCTGTATATATAATTATTAGTATTGAAACGTTAATAATTAATAACGCGGAGTCAACGATGTAATGTATAAAACGTGTATCATTCAGGCGATAAGGAATCATCAATTTCGTCATCAGTCATCAATCCAGCTTGTTGTGATAACTCGTTTCTTGTAATACGAATAGATATTTTAGAATGAAAGGAAATGTTGCATTAATTTTTCATTATTCGGTAATCAATTTTATTTTATCGCGAGGGAGTGAAAATTAGAAAGTAAAAGATAGTGCTATCTTAGTTATCTAACGTTTAATTTCTCTACGAGCCTAGATAAATCTTTTTCCTGGTTCAGTATTAAACATTTTATGAATCATTTTCAAGGCAACCCGACGAGAGAATATTTCACAGAATTACTAATTCGAAATAGGGGAACAGAACAAAATCTTCTTACCATTTTCATCGTATACATACTTTTAATAACCTATATTTTTCGTTGAACGTTAAACCACATTTTAATCGTAAAGTAGTACTTATTTTTCAAAAATTATCAAGCATTATTCGCCTTACACTCGAATGTTGTTCACATTATTATCCTGCCCCGTTAATTACACCGGTAATAGCATTGAAAAATACACAGCAGAAGTTTCACGTTTCTTCCCAACAGTTCCTCAATTAAATACACACAAAATATTCCGCATGGAGGGTATTAATTTATCCAAAACGGAAACAAACAGAGGAGTTATCAAATACTTACATTTAAATACACAATAAATTAAAATTGAAGCATAAATTAATTGCAATCTTTAATTTCCCCTACTACAAGTCTCGGTTAAATGAATACGAAATATCTCACGTAAATCGAATTAATTTACCAATATCAAATTAAATATAAAAAAATGATCAATATATAGAATGTAAATACGAATTAAATCCTGTCACGAATTAAAATTACACGAGTATAAAGCATTTTACATGAAATTTAATAATTTAACGAATACAAAAATAAATATAAAATAAATTACAATAAATTAACGAAAAAATTAAATACGATCTGCAACCTGTTTAAACTAATTTACAAATCTCAACCGAATAAACATAAACGAAATCCAAATGTGAATCAAATAAGACCTAAAACCCTCCCTATCACAAAATACTCTAGATAGAACGCGTGGACTCCATATAAAATATAAAAATTTCATATAAAAATTAAAAAAATTAAAAAATTATTAAATATGCACAATCTAAATACGACTTGAATACAATATACGACCCTACGTAGCACAAGTGTCAGCAAAACAAATCAAAAGACATCCCCCACAGACGAGATACACAATTACTACTCGAATAAGAATTGCATACAACCTACGACCCTATACCGAGGAGTCTGCAAGTATCACGAGTAGCACGTCGTTCCACCATCTCCGAACCCATAGCCATGAAGCCGAGCGAAATCTCTTGACTCGTCTGGATGCAAAAATAAAAGGGAAACGGGGGAAAACAGCGAGAGAGGACATCGCCTGTCCCTATATCCATCGGATGGCATCGCTGGCGCCTTTCTTCCACCACCTCTCGACGTTTCACATATGTTGGTACATGTGCGTGTTATGTCTCATATACACGTAAAGAATATAATATAATATCGTATCATATATATGTAATATACCTATATTATATATAAAGATCCGAGCTGAAGCTACGAAGCGTGAGAATGAACGGCTATCTATGGAGCGTTGCTATTGTGTTGCACTGAGTTCTTGTGTCGGACAAAGAAGCCTCGGGAGGCAGCTCATGGGCGTAGGATCAAGAGGACCGTTTTCTTTCTGGCAACTGGAGAGGACACCGGGCCTGGATATCGTGGGCAATCGGGATTCGTCGGTGCCGACGCCGGACTCCGAACGCGTTTCCATTAACGACGCATCACCTGCATGGAGAGGGTTCGTCCAGCCATTCTCCGGACCTGACAGACGCGCGCAATAAACGAGACGTTCCCGAAGAGAACCGCGTGTCGTTGCCATTGTCGTCGATTCCTGTCACTGTACGCCCCGAGTTATGAATCACTATGTCTGCCAGTCAGCGTGAAGAATGTCGCGCTGACGCTGACAATGCTCGTTACTCTTTGTTTCCATGTCTAATGGTCTAATCCTTGCCTGAGTTTGCCGAGTGATCAGGGGGATCTGTGATTTTGCTTTCGTAAAATGAACTTGGTTCGTTTAAACCTGATATATCGAAATTAAAAAGAAACTGACTCGGATGAACCGAAATTTAGAAAAAAATTGGAACCAAAGAGATTTGGTTTAATATTTTAACGTAATTGTGTGGCGGATGTAAGATGGATGAAGATTTTACTGGAATATCGTTAATTGTTTATCAACACGACTCGATTTGAAGGTAATTATCAAGGAGTAACGATTCGATGAACCTCGTTCTCCCGGACGGAAATGGATCAGCGTCACGTAACACACTAGCGCCGCCAGAGCAAACGTTGCACGTCAGTTTACCGACGCCATGGTTTATTCAGCCGCGATAATGGAATGCCTAGTTTGTTTAATATTCTACTATGTATATCGTTTGGTCTATCGTATCACGTATCACGGATCAGTCGATATTTGGATAAAAATTAGGAATACACGGTTCTCGTTAATTTTCAAAATTCCCGGAAAATCCTGATCACTTGGCAAACTGGTTTACAGCCTAGACAGACGGTTTTGTCCATGAAGATGCCATTTTATTTAGTTCTCCAGGGATAAAATTCGCGTGTTAGGTGACCCAGACGACAGATCTCTCCATGACGACGCGTCGAATGTGGACCAATCGCTTTCGGATCCATTGGCGGCAATTTCGAAGCCACGTTTGAACCGTCCAAGGAAATGGCGCGTTTGATGCACCGTTCGAATAATTCGGGACCAGTAAAGAAGACTTATTTGGTGCTTTGTGTGTACTCTGAGCGTGTTTAGTGTTTAGTGGAGACAGTAGTGTACCTGGGTGCCGTCGTAGGTCCAGGATCCGAACTTCATTTTACAGTGTTGGTCGTCAAAGGGGAACCAAGCGATGTCTATCTTGCAAGTGCTCTTGAAGATGCCCGGAGGAACGTACAGGCAACTGCCGTTATGCGTGACCACCACGTTTGTTTGGTACGTCCCGTCGAAACCCTCATCCGCACTAACGTGTTCATATCACATCATTAATCATCGCTGTCTGCCTCGTTCGCGTTATTTTCATCTACATTTGTCTTCGTTTCGACGCGATTTCTATTTATCCACGGTCTACCGAGTGATTATTCCTTTTATTTTCTATTTCTGTCCTCTTTCGTCGCGTCTTTTGGCAAGAACAAGAGGAATAGCTGAGATTCGAAGGGAAGCTTTTATTCCTTCGTTCCTTGTTTTCGGATGAAAAAGGGTTTATCGAAAAATGTTCTGATAACTGGCTTTTATGCGTAGAAGGAAGCTAGTTGTGATGATAAATTAGTAATATAAATTCTATATTAAAAATTATAGTAATATACGATAATTCAGAAATTGTTCGTGCTTATGAGTTCAAAATTTTGATATAATGGATTTATTAGTTCCAAGGAATCCTGATATTGTGAACTATCTAAATGAATCCTCGTGTTTAGAATATTTTAGTCAGTCGCTGGTCTGGCGTTACCTCCTTTTCCTTGGCCTCCTTCTCTTTGTTCCCTCTAGGAGACGATCTCAGCTTTTGGCCTCTGCTAGGGCAAGGGAAATTAAAGAGCGTTCCGTGCTCGTTCAAGCTGCTACACTCTCAGAATTTGTACATCGAATTTATGCAAGCGATGAACCGTCAAAACCATTTTCGAGATTAATTTAATTATAACCTGGCCTCTGTTAATGATAATGTAAATCATTTGCTGAATGAAAGACATTCGATCGATCAAAGATGATCGGTATACGATCAATTAAATAGAAAAAGGGACGAATCTCAGAAATATCAATTTTTTATTTTTTCCTCGACAAATCTGTGAATAGACAAAAAAAGGATCCTGTTACCAAATTATTCGGGATAAACAATTAAAAATAATATAAAATTTTATATTATATTTATTTGCATTTTGCTGTGAAAATTGGAGAAGGAAAATAAACAAAATCTTTAATTAATTATTTTACAGTATATTTGTATTATATAAAATATATACTGTAAAATAATTAATTAAAGATTTTGTTTATTTTCCTTCCCCAATTTTCACAGCAAAATACACAAAATAAAATATTCAAAATATACCAGCTATTTATCCAACTATCAACACAACTCTGATTATTTTACCAGTGTATATATCTAACTGCTGCCTTGTACATAAATTTATATTTTAAAAGATTCATTATGCAAATACATTGTTCAAGGTCGTCAAATATTAAATCAATTAACAACGAAGCCACGTACATTAACATTTTAACTATAAATAATAAAAATACTTATGTACTCTTAACAACAGCGAACAGGAATAATGAACCATAAGGGTATATGTTACAAAATTTACATAATCCACGGAAACGAACACTGCGTGAACGCTAATCGCTTCGAGGTACCTTTTATTCTCCTAAGCTTACCGAAGAAATAAAGGGGATGAAAGCGAAGATGTCCTCTGTACTTGGGCGCTAATCCCTCAAGAATAATTCGAAGCGACCATTTTAAACGACGACGAAAGATAAAAGGGGAACGTCTGAGAGCGTTCTATCACCGCGAAATATTTTTCTTCCACCGTATATTTATCCATAAAAGCCGCTTATTAAGTTTCCTTGGGGTGAAACCTACTTGCGAATTTCTAACAAGCAAGCTCTGGGGTGAGTTTCCAACGAGATCGACAAGCACGAAAGGCGAAGATTCGCCCTAATTTTAACACTATACCTTCAAAACGTATGGCAACTGAATTTTCCAAAAAATCATAATTTTTACAAAATTCTAACGAAATTGCAAACATCTTTAATACCCCTTCTCACTTTTAACAATCGGATAAGCAAATCTCTGACTTTAGCAAATCTTTGACTGTCTTCGCGTAAGCCTCTCTCCCTGCTTTTAATAATTAAATTAACAAATATCCCTGACTTCACGATCCAATGAGACTCAGGAAAATTTATATTTTAAATAACGAACATATTGAATTTAAAACTGAACCCCTTGGGGACCGAATTATCTTAAAAATAACCGGTCAAAAATTCCCAAACTTACTCCAGCCATAAGCAAAACTACAATAAAGAAATTTGTATTTCAAAAATTACGAAAATTCATAGTTTCACCTAAATAAATTTAACGAATACAGTAAAATCGCGTGAACTAAGGTAAATGAAATTTCACACAAAATTGAAACCCTGTTAACACTAGTTAAACCGTCGAATTTATCTCAGATCTCTCTTGGTTTTCGCCTCGAGAGCCATTTTTTAAATCATCGGCACAGAGGTAGGACAACCAAATCAGTTTCACGGTTTAACAATGCAGTCCTCAGTTTCGCGAGAGATTTGTCCGCGAAAGCAGCTTATCGCTCAGAATTTGAGGACGTCTAGAGATAAAGCTGGAGGAAGAGGCGGTGATACGCATCCGCGAGAGTTCGTGGACATCAAAAGTACCAATGACGCTTTCATTTACCAGGAGAGTAATCTCGGCATTATGCCGGAGCCAAGGAGTACACATCCTTTTTGAGTAGATGAAGAGGATAAGAAATATTCGAATGTGATTAAAAAATATTCGTGAAATCTCGTCGAAATTCGCTGATATTCGTCGCGAGTGCCCGTGAAATCGGCACTGCATATTGGGAAATTTGACTGATTGCGAGATTAAATTAATTCGCGTTTAGTACGCTCGATGGGGAAACGATATCCTGATATTGAAATTTTTTGAAGGAAGAATTGGAGGCGAGAGTTTGATTGATCGAGGAACAACGTATTTGCACTATTTTTATGAATTATTCTTGTGCTGTATATGTGTGGAGTTGAAGGCTGCCAAGAAGTGTAAATTCAAGAATTTTAGCTTTATTGACAAGATAATTAAATTTCTAATTTCTTGGATTTATGGCAAGAAGAAATTGAAGACACGAAGGCAGAAGTTTATATGTAAGTGCTGAAACTGTTGTTAATTTTCTATTCTATTTCTGTGAGGGTGGTTTAAAATGAAAATGTTGAAATATTAAACTCCTTTATTAAATTTTATGTTATTTACTTATGCAATTTAAAATTAGCAATTTCACAACGTAAGAGACGTTATAGTTCTTAATTAAATATTTTTCTATTTTCAGTTGGATGACAGAAAGTGCCCATTTCAAACTCCATGTAAAATATATTTTCTGTCAGATCTGACAATGAATTATAGTGGAATGACGATCGAAGGAACGATCTTATCGAGTAAGGATCGAATTTTAGGAATGTGTAACGTGTTAATAATATACCACTACGTCGATGATTGCATAATTAAGCGTCTACAACCAAATCAGCGTCGTGCTGACTTTTCCCTGTGCCAATGGAGGTAAACAGACAAACACTTGTGATAGACTGGTCAATCAACGACAATTACCTCAAGTTATCAGCGATTTGACGAGGTAATCATTATTTACCACGACACAACGAAATCATTACCATTGCTATCGAGTTAATAACAGACTAGCTGTAATTTCGAACAATGTATTGTTCCTATTAGGTGCGAATGAAACATGTACACGCGATAGTCTTGACACGTAACAGGCAATAAGCTTGCCTAATCAATAATTATATAATCATCTATTCAGAATTTCAGCTGCATCGTTACGAACTAGCTGCGAAAAAAATATGAAATTAATTATTGGTAATTTTAGAAGAGGAAATGGAATCTGAATTTTAAATTCTGTATACAGTAACTTTTTTAATATCCCAATTATTTGGTAATAAATAAAATTCAAAATTACGTGAAATTGATAGATCGCATCTTCGTATCAATTTTCAAAAATTAATTAAGCAAGCAATTGAAATTTTATTACCTACCACTAAATTCCTATGGAAAAATTAATATTCAATTTCGAACAGAATGTTAATGAGATACCTTGGAAAATTAGGGTTATCGAGTTTCGAATTATAATTTACAAAAATTCCTTCTCAACTATTTCCCTCATAGCATCCCAAAATAATAATAAACAATTTAAATAAGACAAGTGACACAAAACATTACAAAAATTAGTTTTCAACATTATAATTTGTCGAAAGTCTAATTAATTATCCACCAAAATTAATCTTCCTAATAATTAACAAATACGAGATATACGAAAACTCCAGCTAAAAGAAGAAATGATTTTCATATCAATTTTCAAAAATTAATTAAGCAAGCAATTGAAATTTTATTACCTACCACCAAATTCCTATGGAAAAATTAATATTCAATTTCGAACAGAATGTTAATGAGATACCTTGGAAAATTAGGGTTATCGAGTTTCGAATTATAATTTACAAAAATTCCTTCTCAACTATTTCCCTCATAGCATCCCAAAATAATAATAAACAATTTAAATAAGACAAGTGACACAAAACATTACAAAAATTGTCTTTCAATATTATAATTTGTCGAAAGTCTAATTAATTATTCAACAAAATTAATCTTCCTAATAATTAACAAGGACGAGATATACGAAAACTCCAGATAAAAGAAGAAATGATTCATATTATAATAAATAAATAAATTTCTCGCAAGGAACGAAGCAGCTCTTATTATACTAATTTAAATGACGTTACTTCCATCTTGATCTTGCCATATGTGTCTGTCTCCGATCGAAACGAAGATTCGAGCCAAAGATCTCATTTACATATATTTCATCAGATGTAAATTTTTATCAACACCCGCGGTTCGTTTTCAAAATGGCCGACTCGCGAGATTTACGATTCCTCGAGATTCGCGTGCGAAAATTTAATTCCTCGATGGTTTAGAGATCGACGGACGGCGTATTTGCTTAAACGAAACAATGGATTCTCGAACCACCGAAATTACGCTTGTCAGGGCTCATTGTGCCGATTTAATGTGTCGATTATTATCCGTTTCGTCTGTTTGTAGCACGGCACGTCGCTCCGCGAACAGCTGCGCGTGGTTTCCGTTTCGTGGCTGCTTAATAAATGCCTACGATATATTACCTCGCGAGATTTATTACGGAATCTGTAGCTTTCCCACCACTATCCCTTCCTTTTTTCCCTGGA